AAAAAAAGATTGTGCTCTTTTTCTGGACTCATTGCGGGGCTGAAAACAAGCTGGAGGTCGAAAAAAAAACATGCCGCGGCCGAAAACAAGATGGACCAATCGTGCGGTCTAGAAAAAGACATTTCGGGGCTGAAAAAAAGAGCAGCCCAAGAAAAACCCTTGCAGTCAAAAGCAAGGCTTCACGACTTGTCATTCTTGCGAATGGACTTCGTCAGCCTATGCCTGTCATTGTTAAGGATGTACATGTCGTTGCTAGGGGTTTTGCAAAGAAAGGTAGAGTTGCCTTTAATCTCGGCGATCTTCCGAAGCCTACTTCCAAAAAAGACAAGTCTGCGACTTTCATCTTCGGCCCGGAAAGGCTGTGTGGACCCCGCCCAAATCTAAGCACAGATGTTGTTTTGCTTCGAACCCTGGATCGAACTCTTGGGGCCGTTGAGTTGAACCCGGATTTTTACTAGTGAATTTTCTTGCTGCCACAAGATAGAGCACGATTTTCGTCTGTTCGAAATACGTTGGATAAGTGTAAAGAGTCGAGTTTGTTGAATCAAACTGTTTTCCGTTGGCTTTCGATTGAATCGCACATTTTTAGTTCATGCTTCTCGATTTTTTAGTGTTTTTTTTCACACTTAGGTCGTTCATCAAAATGCCAGTACGCAAAGTTTCCAAACGTGAGCACACATGTGTTCCCTGGTGAGTTAGCAAGAGTCCCTGTAGCTCTTCGGCCGCACCGCATTTGGTGCACTGGCAGTTTTCAGAGTCCGGGCGTATGGTCGCGTCAGGGGTCGCAGTCGAGGTCAACGTTATCGTCGTTCGAGATGGAAGGCCACAGGATTCGGAGCAGCACGGGTAGTATGTAACTGATGTGGGAGGTCGGAAGCTTGGTGGATCAGGTCATTACTATGTAGCGAGCCAGCACGTCTGCGCATCCGAGTTAACCAGTGACTGCATGCCATGGGAAGCAGTCGAACCGTCGCGACCATTTGTTTATCCCCTTGCCGTTCCTGTTGTGGTACCTCAATGAAAGTCCCTTGCAGCCAGTGCCTTGGCTCGATGTGCTTACCTGACCAACGCAGTTCCAGGCCGTGGCACAGAACAAGCCTCAGCCAAGCAACAAGGGTCCGAGTTCTTCGTGGTGATCATGAGTGACTGAGGGCTCAGACCACATCAACCCCAAGCAGGAAGGAACTTGCACTAGTTGGTTGTATCAAACTTCAGCGATCTTCAGCGCCTCGGCATGTTCTACCTGAGCAAGGCGTTGCAATACTGGGTTTCGGGTGCCAGGAGTTGTAGAGTCATCTAGGACCGTTCAGAATTGTGCATCAGGTCGATCTTGGAGGGTTCATGCGTGGGAATGATGGCATTGGGAGCAGCTTAAGTGTGTGTGGTCCTAGAAGCTCTGGAATGCGTGACTCACTGCGTCGATCTGATTGCAGCTTGGGAATCTGCTGGACGAAATCGATGGCGGTTCCGGCGAGAAGGTTCCTGGTTATGTTGTTGCACCTTGCAGGGCACAGGGATCTCACAGAACTGGTTGTCTAAGTGGTGTCTTCCGCTTCGCCAGGAAGGCGATGCGACTGAGGCCAAATCCGAGGTCAGGAACACGGCTTGCACTAGTTCGATTATCCATCAGATCGCCTTCTAAGCCCACGGCCAGGGCACGCTGGCGAACTCGCTCGGCGGGCTGCTCACCTCGGCGTCCCTTGCTGCAGGCTTCTGATACCTTGTCCCGCCTGCGCTGCTGAACTGACTGAGAGTCTTGTCTCGTGGCTCTGACTGCACAAGTGCACCCCTGGTTGTCTGAACGTTGAGGGTTTTGAGCTGGCTGTCTGCCAGTCGTAGGTTCGGTAGCCTCCAGCTCGACAAGTGCAGCCAAGGCGGCTCTTGAGCTTCCTTGGTTTTGTCTCGCATTTTCTGACCTGGATTGAATGAGTGGAATGGGATACGCGGTGTTTGTCAGTGTGCAACTCGTGGGGACAGCCCGCATGAGGAAGCTGCTGAGCGAGCCCCAATCTGACAGGCGCAGTTTGGTGCGATCACATCCTTGCTCGGCGAGGAGTGGCCAAATCACCGACTCTGGGCGATTTGTGCTGATGCTGGAGTCTTCTGAGTTCTGGCAGGATGAGGACGAGCCTGAGGAGCAGGTGCCCGACAAGGCCTTGGGGTTTTGAGGTCGTTGAGGTACTCTGATTCCCAAAAGAGTGTCCATCCTACCAGCTACTGGGTCATGGGGCATCAGCACAGGCGCAAAGCAGCCAAGTGACGAAGCCTGTTCCTGATGCCGATGGGCACCGAACGGACCGGGACCAGGATGTCGCAGCTCTGGCAGCGGCTTCGTGGCTGAAGTCAGTAGTTCCTCAAGACTCGAGAGGGCAGACATGAGCAACGAGGTGCCAGGAGCACAACTTCCGGACGAAGTGCCCGAGGTGTCGCCAGGCTGGCGGTCTGAGACCCAACTTTACCCGCACGTCTTGGACGAGGCCTCCCCGGCGCCCTCGGCCACCAGCGAGCTCGTAGCAGGCTGGAGCTTTGAGGCCTTTCTGCAGGCTTTGTACTTTTGGCCCGTCCGAAAACCGGGCCGGCAAGGTTTCTGTGCGGCTGATCTTGTTATGGCATCTGCCGCGGCCGTTGCATCAGTGAGGGTAGGCAAACATGAGCCATCAAAAGAGTTGGTCGCTCCCATGGACTCTTGTTAGAGAGGTGGTCGCCGACGGTTGCATAAGGATCTTCAGGGGTCCTGCGTCAAACTGCACATGCCGGGACCTGCATTCGCAATGCAAATTCGCTTCCGGTCCGATGCCATGGGCTGAAGGCCTTCGTTTCATGCAGGAATGATCTTAACCTTACATTTGGTTGCGGCGACGCTGCCATTTACTTTGGGCCAGGACAGACTTTGCGACCCCGGAGCATTGATAAGAGTTGGTTTAGAGTCTTGCAGAGGTGGTTGGCAGGGTGTTCACCTATTCGATTAGCAGCTTTTCCTGTGTAAGCTTGTGTGGCAGAACTTCTGTTCGAGGACCTGTACGAGAACACGGGCTTGCTTGCCGAGTACTTCGCGCCCACGACTCCTGCAGAGCTGTGTGACTCAGCCAATGGTTCTACTCAGGCACCTACTCACCAGCACCGTGCAGCACAGAACGGAAGGGTATGGGAGCCATGGCAGGTGTTGACCAGCAGGCTGCCGAACATTGGACGGAGAGTGCTGAGGCCTGGCTGTGCTGGACCGTGTTGATTGGAAGCCAAGTAGATTTTGTTGAGCCTGCAGCCTGCATTCGAGGCTGGATTTCGACAATCGAGATCGTTTCGAGTTAGACAGATGCGCATGGGAGGAGGACATCAGAGTATTTGCACGCCTGTCAAGTGAATGGTCCTCGCGCGAGGAGATGCAAGACGACCTGGTGTTCTCCTGCCGTGGCCAGGAAGAACTGCGAAAGAATTTTGCCGCGCGGTACAGTGGCTATTTGTACGTCTTTCTGCGAGGCTCATTCTGCCAGCAAGTGCAAGAGCTTATGTGGGCCACTAGTACATACCGACATGCCTGCCCGGAGGATTTTACACCTTTGAGATTGAAGCGGACGATGGCTTTCGGATGGTTCTCGGTCATGATTCCTGCCCTGGTCATGGTTGTGCCACGAGGCAGGGGCACGGCAGATGCCGACCCGAGGCTGAAGTTGTGGGCGCATACTAGATAGCCCTTGTTATGCAACTTCATACTGTATTTTCAGATAAGCATCGTGTACTGCGTGTCTGATGTACATATTATGTTATTATGTGTGTACATAAGTACATACATATATATGGTAACCCCGCCCC